CCCAGTTTCTGGAACATACCCCCCCCCAGTGTCAGGTACATAAACATACGAGAACTTATAACTTCCCCTCTCCATGTAAATCTAAAGTAAATGTCATTTGTATATCATATTTGATGTGACTGTCTGTGGGGAACGCGGCGTGAGGTGACGCACTGTACTGAGGTAAAATGCAACATAGACACACAGTCCTTGAGGAAGGACATGTCCGCACACACTCTCCCTTCCCCCAGCCCCCGCGCGGAGCAGTCCCCGGCCTTACCCGTTGTCGGTGTCCCCTCGGTGTCGGTGTTTCAGGGCCCTGGCAGGTGCGAGTGACAGTGGGCGGGACCCACGCTCTGTTGTGACAGCGGCCAACGGGGCGGGGATTGATGGACTGATGTGACGTCACCCGCCCTGGCACTGGTTAGAGGATCGACAGGCCGGCCATGTGACTGTCGAGGGAGGCGGTGATTGGGCGATCGGCAGTCTCCTGTCGGCTCGGGAACCGCCTCTTCTCAAGGTAAGAGGGAAAGCTAGGGGCGGGGAAGGAAAGCGGAAGCGTTGCTAAGGGACGGGGCGCCTTGTAGCCAGGGCCGGGTGGTGCGTGCTGAGTAGGGGGGCGGGACGAGTAGGTGGATGGCGAAGCCCGCCAATTCCAGTCAGTCTCTTTCATGGAGTTCAGTGAGAGAAGTGTATGAGGTGTCCGTGGGTTCACACGTCTCCGGGTGTACTGACATTTGAACAGGATCCCATTGGCTGACATTAAAGTGAACGGGCGGCTTTCAAGCCACGCTGCCCAGCAAAGAGATGAATAGTAGGCCTCTGGGCCGAACTGTTTCCATAGAAACGGTCTACCATAGAAGTAAATGGGAGGCTGCTGCACCAAGCGGTTGCACAGAAATGACTGTGATGCCTCTGCGCCATGCTGTTCGCTATAAGAGTGAATGGGAGGCCACTGAGTCAAGCTGTCCAACAAAGAAGTGAATGAAAGGCCACGGGGCCAAGTCATCTGCTATAGAAATCATTGGGAGACCGCCGGGCCAAGCTGTCCGCCAGAGAAGTGAATGGGAGGCCACTGAGTCAAGCCCACCATAGAAGTGAATGGAAGCCCTCTGGGTCAAGTTGTCCACCATAGAAGTGAATGGAAGCCCTCTTGGTCAAGTTGTCCACCATAGAAGTGAATGGGAGGCCACTGAGTAAAGTGGTCCCTCATAGAAGTGAATACAAGCCCTCTGGATCAAGTTGTCCACCATAGAAGTAAATGGAAGCCCTCTGGGTCAAGCTGTCCACCATAGAAGTAAATGGAAGCCCTCTGGGTCAAGCTGTTCACCATAGAAGTGAATAGAAACTCTCTGGGTCAAGCTGTTCACCATAGAAGTGAATAGAAACTCTCTGGGTCAAGCTGTTCACCATAGAAGTGAATGGGAGGTCACAGAGTAAAGCTGTCCATCACTGAAGCAAATGAAAGACCTCTGGGTAGAAGTGAATACAAGCCCTCTGGATCAAGTTGTCCACCATAGAAGTAAATGGAAGCCCTCTGGGTCAAGCTGTCCACCATAGAAGTAAATGGAAGCCCTCTGGGTCAAGCTGTTCACCATAGAAGTGAATAGAAACTCTCTGGGTCAAGCTGTTCACCATAGAAGTGAATAGAAACTCTCTGGGTCAAGCTGTTCACCATAGAAGTGAATGGGAGGTCACAGAGTAAAGCTGTCCATCACTGAAGCAAATGAAAGACCTCTGGGTCAAGCTATCCACCATTGAAGTGAATGGAAAATCACTGGATCAAGCTGTTCACCATGGAAGCGAATAGGAGGCCACTGGGTCAAGTTGTCCACCATAGAAGTGAATACAAGTCCTCTGGGTCATGCTGTCCAACATGGAAGTGAATTCAAGCCCTCTGGGTCATGCTGTCCAACATGGAAGTGAATGTAAGAGTACTGGGCCAAGCTTTCCACCATAAATTTGTGCAAAGAGTTTAAGATACAATTTTAGGCATCCCCAGCTTTGTCCTTGGTTCTTCCCCACTGAGCCTTTAGGGTTCCTTGACACCATGTTAAGAAGTATCTACAATTTAAAATCTTTATGGAATGCTCCGGGGGACCTAGTGCTTGGAGCAATTGTTCCCGTTCTGATCTGTTCAATGGTTGCTGATCTAGTGTTGTCCTCAGTGCCGGGCCAGCATCGAGCGGAGAGTCATCCCATACATGATTTCTACAGACTCCGCACTACCTGCCACAGCGTCTGGGCTCCTCCGCACAGACCGAATGAGGGCAGATTATATAAAAGAGCCAATAATGTGCAGTGAATCTCAGAAACATTCACTCTGAACGTTTTATAAATAGTTTCCTCAGATTATGTAACGGAGACAATTTTTTGAAAAAATAAAATGCATGTGTGCAGGTTTCCAGTGTTAGACTGATGGCCCTGATTAGCTTGCAATGCTGACCATCTTACTCTCCTGGTGTGAATGGGAAACCGGGAAGCTAAAATAACAATAGATTTTAGATACTTCTACTAGCAGTGTTTAGAATTACATTTAAAGGAGAACTATGGGGTCAGGGCTTTTCCCCATAGTTCTCCTTAGGGTAACGTGAGGACACAAACTAGCGTCCTCCCGTCACCCTAAGCTCAGTATATAGGGAGCTACAGCTTTCTTTATACTGAGACGCCGCAGCTGAAGCGGATCCTGACATCGATGTCGAGATCCGCCAAGCTGCGTGACTGACAGCTGGCTCTGCCTATCTAGAAGCAGAGCCAGCTGTACCCGCCCCCTCCCCCGTCTGCTCTGCCAGTCAGCGCTGGCGGAGCGGGGAGGGGGTAATCCAGCCCCTCCCCTGTCACAGCAGAGAGCCGTGACAGGATCGAGAGGTGAGGGAACGCCGGTATGTGTTCCCTCACCTCCCGATCTACTGAGCCGACCTGTGACAGTCTCATTGTCACAGGTCGGCTAGAACTATGAGGTGAGTGAAAAGCACCCCCCCCTCATAGTTCTCCTTTAATTTATTTGTTTTATGATGCCCGGAGTTCAGCTTTGGAGCAGATGTGAACGCCAATTGATATTTCGTTTGCAAAAGCACCGTAAAGAGAGGAGTTTATCAAATCTGGAGCAGTTGCCCATGGCAACCAATCAACTGTCTTTAATTTTTAAAGCTCAACTGAACAAACCAAAAACGCAAGCGGATTGTTTACTATGGGCAATTGCTCCAGATTCTGTCTGCTCCAGTTTTCATAAATGTCCCCCCCCCCCATGTATCTTAAACAATTTCACTGTTTCTATTTTAACAAAATCCTTGTTTTCACCTTTAATACTTTGTTACATCTCAGTGCTGATGATCTCCTGCAGCCCGTTTGCAGTCATTTCCTGTCTACATGCACTCCGGAGATGGCTGTGTGACATTTCTCAGGGCTTGTTTCCTGATGGTGACAACAATGGATCATGTCTGTGTAATGTGTGCAGAAACAGCCACTTGTAGTTTCCATTGGAAACCTGGGGGACAGGGCATTGTCACCTTCCAACAGGAAGTGCCTGAACAAGGACAGTATTGTCACCCTAATACAGGAAGTGCCTGAACAAGGACAGAGTATTGTCACCCTAATACAGGAAGTGCCTAAACATGGACGGCATTGTCACCCTATAACAGGAAGTACCTAAACAGGGACAGAGCGTTGTCACACTATAACAGGAAGTGCCTGAACAAGGATAGAGTATTGTCACCCTAATACAGGAAGTGCCTGAACATGGACGGCATTGTCACCCTATAGCAGGAAGTGCCTGAACAGGAACAGAGTGTTGTTATCCTATAACAGGAAGTACCTAAACAGGGACAGCGCGTTGTCACCCTATAACAAGAAGCGCCTGAACAAGGATAGAGAGTTGTCACCCTATAACAGGAAGTGCCTGAACAAGGATAGAGCATTGTCAGCCTAAAACAGGAAGTGCCTGAACAGGGACAGAGGATTGTCACTCTATAACAGGAAGTGCCTGAACAGGGACCTCCATGGCAGGTTAGCCTTCATGTTAAGGTTCCTACAACTGTCACTCAGAATTCACACCTTGTTCAACTGAATGCAATTAGGATCAAGGTGCATCTTGGGTGAATATTGTGTGGAAATGTTTATAAATAGACCCCTACGTGTGTCTGTGTGGGCTCTAGAGTGTTTCCTAGCTGGCCATGCACTATACAATCTGATTGTACAATCTCCTAGAAATCTACCATCATCTATGTAAAGCAAGGGGCCTCCCTGATTGGATTGGATACAAATTGCATTGTTGAGGTTTGCCCTCATACTACACAGTTTTGGTAAATCTATAGGAGATGGTATAGTGTACGGCCAGCTCAAGAAAGCATGACTGCAGACAACAAACGTGGGCTCCCCACACATTACAATCAGACAGTACAATAAACCTGACATCTACCGAAACCCAGTAATATGAGGACCAATCTAATCTATCCAATCAATTTCTATCCAGTCAGGCCGGCCCTGGCACTACATAGTGGTTGGTAGATCTAAAGGACATTGTGCAGCCAGATTGTAATGCGTGCAGTGAAGTTTGGATACAATCGTGTTCTCCTGGAGAGGAATTTGAACTGTTACCCGCAACGTTTTATCCGTGTTTTGTACCACTAGGTGTCAGAACGAGTCCAGTTATTATCGTGTGTGAGCACTCACACAGACCGGGGCCCGTTATAAAGATTGACAGGGAATCTTCCGCTCTGCCAAGAAATAGTGACGATCCGTTCAGGAGATTTGCCGATTTATGATTAAAGCGACACTGAACTCCGGAGTTAAATCTTAAAAATACATTCAAGTCCTTAAACTCCGAACAACAATGTATCTTATTTGTGTATCACTCGGCTGTAGATCCTCCAATCATCTCTGAATTGGCGCTGACACTGTCCTTCCTTCTGGAGGGGGGCTACTTGTGTTCCCCATGGTCACTGTGTTTGTTGTACAGTAGTCACCGCTCCAAGCTCACTCCCGGGATAGACTACAATCTCAATACTAATTAGTAGGGATGCACCGATATATCGGCCGCGGAAACATATCCACCGAAAATGGCACTTTTGGTATAATGCCGAAAGTGCCATTTTCTGGCCGATACAGCGGCGCATCCGTTCTTTTTCTCCTCCCCGCAGGGCGCTGCTGTTTCCCAGCGGGGAGGAGAGAAAGTGCCACAGGCGGCTGAGCACTGCGGGAGGAGAGCGATGTGAGCGGCCGGTGTCTCTCCTCCCCGCACCGCTCAGCCTCCTGTCACAGATCAGAGGAGAGCAGTGTGGGGGCGGAGACAGCCAGCGCTATCACAGGAGGCTGAGCTCCGCCTCCTGCGACAGCGTGTCAGGATGGAGAGCGGGTACAAGCAGTCAGTGATCGCTTAGTGTTTGTAAATAATTGAGGACGGAGTATGGTTAAAAAGTAAAGTTAAAAAAATTTAATAAATATAAAAAACTTACAAAGTTTATTAAAAATAAAATATTTTGAAAAAGTTAAAATAAAAAACATTTTCGGTTTCAGCCTGACATTTTTTTTTTTTTACGGTTTAGTTTCGGTTTAGAAATGTTAATTTCGGTGCACCTCTACAAATCAGTAAACTAAACATGAGATTGTAGTCCATCCCGGGAGCGAGCTTGGAGCGGTGTTTATTGTCACTTTAAATCTTGGGATTTCCCATGGCCATCTTCTAGGACGGCTGCGTGAGAGTTGAAACGGGAAACACAAGAAGAAAGACAATAAAAAAAAGCCCCTCCCACCCCCTTGTTCTCAGATGATAGAAGATGTATTGTCCCCCCCCC